TCGTTAATCGAACATCATGAACGAGAAACTTTTATTGACGAAACAATTCTCAATAATACAACTATCAAATATTTTATCAATTATTTGCATTTCACTCTTCACTTAACATTGGTCACGCTTTAATCATTAAACGTGCCGAGTTCAATTTTGATTTTCGAATAAAAATCTTCGAAACAGCTCTTCAATATATCAAAATTCATATTTGTCGAAGAATTTCATATTAATCGTATATTGATGTACGATACATTTAGTGCGAAAGAATTATTTCTGTCCTTGTTCTAAGAGAAAAAAAAAAAAATAAAGATTAATAAATTTGATAATATTCCCATTTCATAATTCCAATTATACCCAAAGTATATTCATTACTTTTTTATATAAAGAAACTAATCCACTAAATATTATATAGAAAATTAAAAATAACTTTACTCAATATCTCAATTTTGTAAACATCAAATTGCATACAATTTTATCGAAACTTTCCGAGATCTATCATTTTGATAAATTTTATAATTTCATAATTTCAATTACAAATAATTGCATTTCATACTCACATATACGTACATACACTCTCAAAAACGCCAAATAATCCATTCAAACTTCCGCTCAACTTCCGCTACCACGGAAACTCGCCCCAAAATCGGTGTAATATCCAGTAGATTAAAAACGGAAATTCGACATCACCAGCCGGAACGATTTTCGTCAGATAGCAGAGGCTCTCGTTGGTTCCGTTGATATCCTGTTTCCGGGACGAATGGAGGAACGAGCGTATCGTTAATCGAGGAATTAATGGACCAGCGGGTGAGCGTTGGAGCGTGTAAGATCGGGTTGGCTGTGTGACGAAAGAGGGGGTTGGTTTCTGGTTAGGAAACGGGCCGAATACGTGATCATCGATGCACACCTCTGGAAATCGATTTCTCCCGCGAGACGTTCTCTCATTTGTACATGAAACACGTAGAAACAAATCGAGAGTTGAAGACTCGATAATTAAATGCGTGCCGGCGAAATCAGAGATGGGCAAAATTTTAATAATTGAAGTTCTTTCAATAATTTATTATTTAAAGCATCGAATAATCATAAAAAGTGTAGTAGTCAAATGGCTGAGATTATACGAAGAATGGATCAATTAGTTACGAATAAATAAGGAAAGTGATTATTAAGTAAATTAGAAATTAAATTTCATTCATATTGTTAAATTAAATATATATTTTTTTTCCTGAAAGCAAAACCTCTTAAATATTTTTAAAACAAAATTTTCAATAAATCGGAATTTTTAAGATTTTTAAGATTTTTGAAATTCCAGGTAACATACAAAATTGTAATGAAACAACGAGAATATTCGATATTCTATATAGAAAATATTTATATCCAATTTTTTTAATTAATTTTTTGTTTTAGTTTGTCAAATGCATAAATTAATTTCTAAAATAGAAATAAAATAAAATCAATAACGAGAAAACCTTTAAATAGTCTTTAAAATCCTATATATTCATTTTAGAGAGATGCATCTTTGGTATTTAAATATTATAAATCACAGAACAAACGTTATTTATTTAAAAAAAATTGCACAAGAAAAAAGACTCGAATTGTTAGAATATCATCTTAACCATCGTTCCTGGGTCACGTTTCAGTTATTAAAAAGCTAATTGTGTTTGACAGTAATTTCATAAAGTTCCGTATAAAATCTTGCATATGAAATATGATAATTGTGGATTTTTTCTCAAAGAAAAAAAAAGGATGGAAAAGATAATATCATTAACAAAATTCTTTTTATAACAATTCAGCATTCATTTTTCTTTTCTAAAATTAGAATTAATTTTAAAAACATTAAAATTAATTATTATAACGAAAATTCACCTGAAATTTGAATTTCACCAAAAAATTTCTGACGCAAAATTAAGTGGCAATCTTAATATAACTAGAGCAGTGGAATTGAGGCCACGGTTAACCTCGCAATTTTTCGCCCTTCCATACCTCCCTGTTTTTTTATTTTTACCCCGGCAATTGCAATAACCGCCAAAGAGAGACGCAACATTAATTTCGGCTAGACTTCAAAGCGGTTCTGAGACTGTATTGTACCAGGCCGTGGTTCGCGATGCAACTCGACTGCTCTCCTCTTTTCACCTTTGTCGACCCCTATTCCCTTTCCACCCTTGTCCAATTCTCACCCCATTCGCTCTCTTCTTCGAATGACACGATGCATCTCGACAAAGGGGAACTAACGACGGAATAAAGAAGGAAAGGGGAACGCGTCTTCGATGACATCGTCCATCCTCGATTTTCCATCCTCCATTTTTCGTTTGGCAATAGCTTTGAATATGAAGCCTTGGAATATGATGCTCGAGATCGATTAATAAATCATGCGTATAGAAAAATACTAATAAAATATCAGAATCGAAAATAATCGAAAAGAATCGAATAAAACAATGAAAAAATAATTGAGAACCAAATCCAAATTTTTGAAGAAAATTTTATTCATAGAAATTTTGAAAATTATATTGAAAATTATATTGTAATTTAATACTTTAAATATCTGATTTAATATTTAACAGATAAAGTGATATTCTGTTTAACATTGCAGTTCGTATATTCGATATATTCAAACATGTAATAAGATATTTCCAGAACAATATACATATATATATATTGCAGGAAATATTTGAAATCGATAGGATTAATTACGAAAAAGAATTGGACCATATTCAAAGCTTACTGAAAAAAAAGAAGTCACATTAATTTAAAACCAACACGATTGAACTCTTTCTGTAGTCTTTGCTTCGTATCGATACTCCCTGTTATCTCTATTATCAAAAATATCGACGAATGGTATATACATATGACTGTTCCAATTTTTTCCAATTTTCTTTTCCAAGATTTATTTATTGGATATATATAAATAAGAAATATTATACAAATGAAAATTATTTAAAGCTTTATCAATAATCTGAAAGAGAATAATACCTTAATGTAGAAAGGAGAAAAAAGTAGGTCGTGAAGATCATAAGAATTTCAAACATCATTGAGCTTTCCTCGCATCTTAAATGCTGCACATTCAAATGTTATATATCCAAGGAATAGATAAGGATTTGAAACGAAATCCCGTTTTAAAAATATATTTATTCTTATTTCCAAACTGATATGCATAAGAAATCTGTTTATCGTCTTCTTTTGATATATTTTCATATTCGATGAATTTTCAATAATACTTTTTATCAAAACTAAGCTATATTTCATTATATGCAAGATGAAGCATTCTTGTGAATAGATAGAAGTATTCTCAAAAAGATATCAATATAAAGGGTTTAATATAATATAAGAAAATATTCTTTGATGTAAGAATCGTTCAAATGGATTCCATTACAATTATATCATTTAAATTCTTCAATCACTGAGAAAATATACCCTTACAATATATCCTTTCTAAATTTCTATTCAATATTTCTTCAATTGTTTGTTCCATGCAAAAATAAATATATCATTAGATTCATTTTTTCATAAAGACACTTTATTACAAGATTCATTATCTTGAACAAAATGATGCCCAAAATCTTATCTGATCAATGATTACTATTCATAATCATCAGAATCATAAAGAAAATATGTATTCAATGTAATAGTTCAGTTCACCAATTGATTCTTATATAGCTCGTGCATTTTAAACCATTCTAATATTCAAAAAAAACGGATATTGATAATTCAAGCACGATATTATAAAATTACAAGCATAATTAACACCAGAAATCATCACATTGAATATTTTCACTCTATCGTCGATTTATCACACGCATATCCCAACCGGAAAATTAACTCGAATTACGGTATAATTAATCGAAGGAAATTGCAATTATATATTACGGATGATGCACGATTTCAATAAAGTACCTAGTCATTTATGTAAACGAGCATAGATCCCGATGATTTCTGATCCAAACGTTTATTCGTCGCGCCCTTTGCGCACGATGAAACAAATTTATCATTACGAACACGAGATTAAAACATATTGCCGTTAATATCGAACAAGTAAATTTGTCGTTGCGTTTAAACACGGCTTTATGAAGGACGTGTTCACGATATTCGATGGCACGTCGCGAAATATGCAATCACACACCGATAAATTACGTGTTTTGATAATGTGACATCGTTGGTTCTAAAAATGATGTGTCGATATAATTTGCGATAATACATCGCATCAAAGGATCGTATAATTGTAAAAGTGAAACGATTCTAGAAAAATAGAAAAGTAATGAGGGATGAAAATATATTAAAATATTACCAGGAAATCGATATTTTTGACGGTGAAATTTTATCATTTCTTCGATTAATCTTGTTTTATCGTATTTTTGTTTATTCATCTTATCTATATGTAAACTTTCATATAATTTATGAACAGATAAAGATCAAAGTGACTTTAAAATCAATAGAAAATGTAGAATAATTTGGAGTAAATTAGAATTAGAATTCCTATTAAAATATTGCTTGAAACATTGAAGAGATTTTCGAAGAGATTCAGGTTATAACGAGTACTCTCAGTTACTATTCACAATACAGCAGATTATTTTTGATTAATTGCTTTAAAATCCATCGATGTATCTTGTCACTGAGATTCAAATCTTGAGATAATTGATGAGAAGATGTATATATATCTGAAAGTATAAATTTTAGCAAGAGATAATCGATTAAATATTGACGAAAATATCGCTTATATTTTAAATAATCAATATAACAAATAAGCTTTCAAGGAAGCACTCAGATTAAAAAAAAATGTAAAAAATAAAACCATGTCACTTCCTTAATATACCTCAATTATATTTATTGAATCGAGGAAGCTTCGAATCATTTTGTCAATCCAAAATTCCCTCGTTTTTCCTATAAATTAATACATTTTTGATCAAGTATCAAGAATTACTTTTTCACAGATTATTTTTCTTAGATTAAGCTCGAATCGAATCTTATCGTAAAGTGAGCGGGTCGTCTGAATGACGCGTTAGTACTCACTGTTGCAGACGGTGGTGGAAGTATGTCACAAGAAGAGGCAGTGCAAGTTCAACACCAGTCCGAAAACCTTTCAGGGCGATCCGTGTCCTGGATTGCCGAAATACATCGAGGTCGCCTATCAATGCCGTCCTTGTAAGTAATCTTTTTTCTCTTCTTACTTTTTTTATAAATTTAGATTACTTTTTCCTTCCTTATCTTTCTCCAATACTTTTACTTCTATGATACTTTATTTATTTTCATTCGTTTTACATCTTTCTTGATCCAAATTGTATGATATATTATATATTGTAACGTCGTGACAATAGATGTAACGACATCTTCAAAGCTTTCACGATTTAAGATATATGATCGATACACTTATATCCGTGCATGCGCTATTTATTTCAATAAGGAAGAAAGTGCACTCAACGCTCGCTCGATGCATTGAAATGATACACACTTCGCTTACAAAAAGATTCAATTTGCGAAGAAACTCACATCGTTGTGGTGAAAGCGTGAGAATGAATTTAACCACGTAAGAAGAAAGAATTGATTTTGTTCTCGATAGTTAATTTAATTTCGACAATCAATATTCTATTGTATCGTATAATTTATATAAAAATTTCAAACGTAGAAATTCTATTATAAATTGTCTCTTGAAAAATTATTCTTAAGCAAAAAGTAAACAATAATAAAAAATATATTATAAAAATAATAAAAATTTTATCGACACATATTCGTGATCTTTCAATGTGTGAAATTCAGAATACGTCTTTATTTATCTTTAATTCGCACAACTCATCGGTCGAGGTGCTCTCACGCTGCACAAAGAATCTCGAAAAAGCTTGAACCGATGACGAACATAGCGAAAAAGTATTACTGTAAGAATGGTCAAGAGCATTCGCGCGAACGTAACTGAAGACCCGTTTTCAGGAAGAGGTCGTTTCTCCTCGTAGCACTTATCGATACCGTTTTTACGGCCACGTCGAACATTAGCCCAGTTGAACGTGAAAAGCACGGATATCGATGTAGCTTCGGAAGATTCTTTGCCCGTATTACGAGAAAATGCTGGAAAATGGAGAAAAATTCTGGCCGGTCGTTCCGTTGATGAACGTCCTCGTTTTCGATCGTGGTTTGTCTTGGGTACTCGTGAACGTAATAGAATGTTAAACTTCTTCCATTTTTTGTCTCAGGTACGGTGAAAAGTATTACATCTTACACGAGTTCAATAAGAATTAATTAGTTAGCGAAACCAATTAGATTCTTTTGTCTTTTTTGCATTATGGATTGTGGAAAAGCGATTTCTTTCGTGATCTGCGATAAAATGGCGAAACAATTATAACGAGCAAGAGAATAACGCGAAGAGGATAATTCGTCGTAGAAATTTAATGCAAGTTGCGGTTTCATTCAAGATTTGAGTAAATGCTGCATAAATACAATACGTATTCCTTCGACTTTGAATCATACTATCTACAACTTGCTAAAAGTTATCTCGTCTTGATTAAGTTACGCATAACTTTGATGCAATTCAAATATTACAACGTTCCATTAAACATTTGGTTAAACGTTTCTCGTTTTACGTATAATAACGACAAGTTTCGTGTTTTAATATACATATTTCGCTATTTGAGATGGAATATTGTAATATTAATGTTTCATGAAATATGAGCAGTTATATGAAAGTTAAACGTGAAATAAAGGATATAGAATACGCGATGTATTATGAATTATGACACAGGATATGGAGAACTTTCTTCTATCCTTTTCATGTTTTGTTAAAATACATGGAATTTCTTTTCAAAATATTATATTTTTATAATAAATTTGTTAAAAATATAGTGGAGTGATTAAATTTAACTTATTAGATTGGTATTTTTGATAAATACCAATTTCGATTCGTTGTGAAATATAATGTAAATGAAATATTCCATGATGTTTGGAATTTCTTCTCAAGGTATGTTGCTAAGGAATTTGTAACAAATTTACATGTATTATAATTGATCTCAGTAAATATAGGAATTTTGAATACACGTTATTAGAGATTTTAGAATTTCGCGCGGTATGTAGCTTTATTGAATTTCGCCTTTCACCATTGAATAACTTGAATCGGCAACTTTATTAAATTGTATGGAATTTTGAAATACTAACCGATCGGCATTACTTGCATTCACCAATATCTCGCATATCACTTTTTTTTAATATAATCTTTTATTTCATTTTCCACAATTTATATTACGGAAAGATTAAAAGATCAATATCAAAACTGGAAGAAAACGAAAAAAACATTCAATTTAACTTCTCTATCTCATAATTTCATCCTCTTCCTTCTTAATTCAAAATACAATTATATTCCACAATTTCACTCTCTCATCAAATCTTTTTATTTCATCAAAATACAATCAACTTTTGCATTCCACAATTCCATTGTCCAATCATGTTTTTTCTTTCCTAATTTTTTCACCAAAAATTCCTCTTCGTTCTCATTTGATTCATTTTAATCAAAACTCTAGTAATCAACGAGCAAAAAACTCCTTCCATCCGGATATCGTTAATACCGTTAAACAACAAGATGAGCATATCAAACGACATTCGTAGAAACACGTAACAGAAAAAGAATTAATGCATCCTCCGACAAAAATTACTTGAAACTTGTTACTGCAACAGGTTGTCGCCGGCGTATTGTGGATGCACGGATCCGTATGCCCTCGTTTCTACGCCGTTAATATACACATACTTTACAGAACTGGTGTAATAAACATGCCTTCCCTTCAGTTTTACGTTCTCGCCACGTGGAACCGCGATATTTCATTTACTTAAGATCCTGAACACACGGACGACGTTCCAGTCGATACATGGCCATTTATTAACGGGTGCGCTGTTAAAGCGTGGCAGTTTTCCAATTTCGTGAAGTTCTAGACGTTGCACCACAGCTATGGCCTGTGTATGTATAAATTGTTAAAGATCGTGAAATCAATTTCGACTTTTTAATAATGGATTGTGAAAGAATTGGAAAGCTTTGAATTTTTCAATTTCCATCTCAATGGCCAGTTTATCATGTGTATAATACGTCTTATGGTTAACGATATAACGTACGTCGATCATGGCAAGCGTCGATTGTAACGCTGTGACTTGGACAGACGCGTATTACACCGTACTATTCGCATCACAGAAACGGTGTAGTAAGCGATATCGCGTCATATATGCGGCCATGAAGGCGACATTCAGTGGACAAACGGTTGAACCAAACAGACCTCGATCGATCGTCGTAGACGTGGCAAGTGCCACTTGAATCGTGATGTTCGATCAATAGGATTCGGAGAAATTCGAAAGGAGGACACGAATTAAGACGTTCACGAATTTTCCTCAAATGGAATTCCAATTTGCAGGAGAAAATTTATACAGGAATGAAATAATTTTGATTAATTTCTTAAACCTCGTTTCTCAGTAAAATAATAATTAATATTTGAACGTTTTTAAGGTATTAAATTATATTTCAGTAAAAAATTAATTAACTTCTTTAGGAAATCTATGCTATGCTTGCAAATAATAGATCCAACAAATTCTTTTTGTTCATATTTAATGATTTCGTTAAAGCTCTGAGCTAAATAGGTTATGTGTATCTCCTATGGCTAGATATTTAACTTACGTTGATGACATCCAAGTACAAAAATAATTAAATCATTTCAAAGGAGGTTCAACTATGTTGCTTGATTTAATCAAATAGGGAAGTAAGAAGATACCCTTGTTTATTAAACTGTTCGATGGAAGACTTTATTATTAAAAGTCAAACATGTATTTGTCAAACAATCTTGACAACTTCTGGAACTCTTCGGAGTATATTACTCTACGCGATTATTCGTAGACAAAAAATTCTAAAATTTGAATTGTAAAGTTAAAATTTAAAAAAGAAAATATGAAAAATATGAACATGTAATAAATATCTGCAATTTAATGAATACATAATCCAATTTAATGAATAAATAATCCAATAGTACAAATCAATAATTCATTCGTCTATAATACCAACACCATACGTTGAAGAAACAGCTATAATTAATATCGAAAGTTAAATAAAAGATCATTATCATATAAAAGATACACAAAATAAAAGAAAAAGAAATAAATAATTACAACTCAATAATTACAACGATTGAGCATAATTTTCTTTCAAATAGATCAAGATTTATCTAAAAAAGTTAGTAAAAGTTTCTAGATTCGAATGAATTAATGATACGCAATTGAAACACGATCTAAAATTACACGTTATATTGTGAACGTGCAAATTGTATCAGTTAAATTAATTTTGTTGCACTCTGCATTGTCGTTTAATTAAATAAATGACAACGAACAGAAGTGTTTCGCTCGCTTGTGATTGTATCTGTCACGGACCGAATTATTATTTAAGTTTAATTACCTGAGAATCGGATTATTCATTCTTCGTTGAGGGAAAAATCTATAATACTTGTATTTAATGCGTTTATGGCACACATCTGATTCAAAATTGGATTTATAGTTGATAATTTTAATGTATACGTGGACTTATGCTTCAGATTTCTCTAGATCTTTTTTAACTGAGCTGAGCCACATCTGCTTATCCTCCATTTTTCTCTATTTTATTAAAATCTTATTTTAAAAATCCACCATGTAGGTCACATGAAATTGTAATTCTACGAAGATTAAAACTTACGATGAAGAAAGAAAGAGATTCAAAATAAGCGTAGAAACTCGTGTTATATTTAATGCAACAATGAGAAAACTTGGATAGAAGTTTGTGACCAAGTAAAAAAATTTTGTTGCTAAACGAGAAACGATTGTTTAAGAATGATCGATTTAATTGGTAACATAACAAATTGCACTTTGTTTGCAATGTTAAAGAGAATCTTTATTGTTATCTAATTTTTTAAAATTTATTTCCGTCTATCAGATGTATGTCGACCTGAAAGAAAAATAATGAATTGTTACAAAAATAAAATTCATAAAAATATTTCATTCAAATGAAAGTTGCTACATTAAAAAATAATTAGTAAGTTCAATTATTACTCTTGTTATTACTTTACTTTAATTGTCACTCTATATACTCTTTTAACAATATAGAAATCTTCATTCTCCCATATTTGACATCAATTTATTTGAAAATATATTTTATTCTTTTTTCTTTTTTTTCTTTTTTCTAATAAAATTACTTGAAATCAACACATTGGTACAGTAACAATACATTCTGTTCACGTTACTAACAACCATGAAATCATTATTGATTTCACTGAATCACTTGTTCTGATTTCGATTGACATTCAGCATCTATTCTACACGTACATCGTGTTTATACTCTCTTTTCCTTCCTTCTCTCTCAATCTTTCTCTCTCTTTTTTTTTTTTTGTATATGATCATCTTTTTTTTCTCGCAGGGCAACAAGTTATACGGAAAAATCCATTGGCAATATGAAATTATTACACATTCCTGACTGGAATGATTGAAACATTCCAATTTCTTCGCAAATATCGTGTAACACGATCCTGGAAAACTGCTGAGATTGTCAATCAATTAAGACTGAAGTTATTAATTTTCAATTTACAATATTGAAACGATATTTATTTCACGAGTAAAAAAATTCTATATTTTTTTCAAAAGATCATTTCATTTTTTTAACAGTGGCATCAAAGAAAAATGTATGAACTTAGGATGATTTATTCTACTTGTATACAGTTTCATCATTTTCTAATAAATTTATGTAGTTTATTTTCTTTGTTAGATTAAAGTTGTAAATTAATTTTAAAATTAAACCAATTTATTTTTCGAGAATATAAATCGAATAAGACGTGAAATGAAACATTAAGATAGAAAATTTAGATCTCAATTGAATTATTTGTTTATTATTTTTGTTCCAATTAAATTAAACAAGCAATGATAATAATTCTTATTATATTTCCGTTTTATTCGTCGAATAAAATTCTCGCAAAATATCAAAAATCAAATTCATTACGGCGCGCATTATACCGATCACGAACACACAGATCTCAAGCTGAGATTCATCAATCACAGGACAAAGCGACGACGTTTAAACGGCGGTGGAACGTCGTCGACTCGACCGCAAAGAAAAACGAATTAGTCAAATGAAGCACGTTTGGCTAATGACGCCAAGTGCAATAAGTAGCACGTGTGTAGTCGCATAGATTTGCGGCTGACACGTGAGGCGTCGCCTGCTTTTGGCACGCAATGTGACACGTGTAACGTATATTTGTCTTGTTGATTCATCGCATTCGAATTACCGTTTTATTCTCTATCTTCTTACGATTACTTTTCCGCCAATTTGTCAGCAACTTTGTTTCTGCTCAATTAACACGAGCTTGAATTACGATTACATACGTTGTTGAAAATTTACAATTAATTCTTATACGCATCTATATATGTATCTACTTTCGTATTAATTTGTTTTCAATGTTTGTTTGTCTTATTAAAATCATTCTTAATCTTTTTAATTTTTAATTTTCCGAATCATTCACACACGAATCATTGTCTTAATCTAAAAAATTTCGTTCAATGTTATTGAAGATATAATAAGTATCTATCTATGTACTATATATACTATAAGTATCTCAAGATTTACCCCTTTAAATAGAGATTGATCCTGTTCCATCTGGTCTCTATTAGCGACGTCATTGGATATCTGGAAGGTAGTCACAGCTATAGACATAACAGAACACACGCGAAAATTCGAGATGCCATCGAAAGTGGGTCGATCGAAGAGCTAGGTTGTTGAAAAAGCTTTATGCTGGGTCTATTGTCGTCTCGAGTGCTCGGTGCTGAAAGAATTGCCTCTTATATCCACATTTTTGCGTCTTTTTTTGCGTTTTTTTTTTAACCAATTAAAGCTTCAGACTGGACGTTTCGAAAAATTGTACAATGAACGAGTTTTCTTCCTGCTTTTCTATAAAATTTCATAAATCATTGTGTACCTTCCATCTTTGATGAATCTCGTTATTTGCTCGATCAATTGCTTCGATCATTCGAACGGCTGTAAAAAATTTTAAATATTTAAAATTTGTATGCAATTATATTTTATGACTCTTACGTTTAATTTTGAAGATTATCTTCTAGTTTTCCAACAATAAGTTCTGTTTCATGGCGTCTTCGCTTCCTAATCATACCAATCCTGCTTTAGTTATCGTAGTAAGTTCGTGTTATTAATTAGATACCATAGCTTCATAATAACCACGCTCGATTCGGTAATAATTATGCGAGTTTCGAGCATAAATCTGAATATGATGGTAACGTTGCATCAAAATTATTTATTTTATTAAAAATTTGTTTATAGAAAGTTTATATTTATAATGTTAAAATGTTATTCTGATTAGATTTATTTTCGAATATCTCTTGTAACGAAAATTTCGTCAAATTTATGAGTGGCAACATAGACTCGAAATTGGAAAGTCATTTTGTAACTCGCAAATTTACGGATATTACTTTCGAAATACCTGGCAAAGGAAGTCCCTAGAGAAATAGGATTATTATTAGGGACATACCAGGCTAAGTTCATCCGCACATAAGAGAAGAGTCAGCAGAGTCACTAAAATATTATTGCATTATAAGTATCACTTGTAGCATAAGTAGCACTTATCTCAAGAACTCATTATCAGATTATTTAGCAGCTGGAGTGTTGCTACTATCTGTAGATATACGTATAAAATTCATAACAAAGCTATGTTGTCATATCATGTGAATTACAATTTACTAATTGATAAAGCTTTTCGATTAAATACTACATATAGGATGTATATCAAACAGTTGACATATATAATGGATAATTCTGCAAAATTCTTGAATTGAATACCAAAGATAATCATTTTATTTATGATTCAATTACATCCTTTATCGAAATCCATATCGTACAACTGCAATTTATCTTCTTCAATGCTCGTTGCTCGACTTTCTTATAATAGTTTGTATAATACCAATCGTCACGATTTATTGGAATAAAACAGGAATACGACGACAATTATAAAAAAAATCATGTTTGACAAGTCAGAATGATGCAACTTATCCGATTTTCGTATTATAATTTAACTCCAACGAATTTGATTATTTCCGTCGTAATTAATATTCGACGTATTTAATTGGACAATTCGTACAATGGCTTCTACGAAACTTCTCCGTATAATTGCAATCGCATAGCATCTTCGTAATTGATACCTTAGAATGCCAATTATTCAGACATTAATCATCCGTAAATTGATTCGCCTATGAGAATATCATGTATTCTCGTCGACAGAAATTCTTGACTTTGAGACGTGGAAACAGTTGCGTGCTTATATTCAAGATCGTTAGATTTCTATACTCGAGAGTTTGGTGGATATAATCAATAGTGGAAATATTATTACCAGATTAAACTGATTCCTAACTTGCTAGGTAATCTATCGCAATTCTGAGATGCAGATTGGCACATCGAATATAAAATTCATTAATCAATGATATTCGAAGGAATCAGGATGTTTCGTATTCTCTAATTTTAATCAAAATATTTAAGAATAATTTTGATATTAACTTTAATTTTATATTTAATAATAATTGAGATTTTAATTTTGTATTTAATGTATACGAAATAGAGGTAGACATTGTTTGCAGACAGTCTGTCACACATTGTTCATGAATATTATATGTGAGCTATTATATATACATTGTGTCACGTGCTGTAATATATTATATGCCCATATCTTACAGTACTCTGTTAATTGTCTCCAGGTATCTAGAAACCTTGTTCATGTACGTGAAACTGATATAATTGAAGAACAATATATTTTGTCGCTCTGTCGAATTTATTAATCCTTAAAAGAAAAAATTTCCAGATAATGATAATTTAAAAAATATATTTTTATAACAAAGATATGGCATGTTTTTCTAAAGAGATATAATTCAAATTTCTAGAGCATTTAAAGTATTTCATTTTACTTTATGCTCTTTTGAAAACTCATTAAAATTTAATCTAATACATTATTCTATGCAAACAATAATAATAATGACAAATAATCCTATATAATTCTCTGGAATTTAAGATAATGCATCTTTGCACCTTGCACAAAAATAAAATCTCAAGAATGTAGCATCCACTGTTCCAATGAGGGTAAAGTTATTGCGCGATCATAAAAACGTGACACCGTAAAGAACACTTGATCTGATTAGCTTTGAAATTCGCAATTAGCGAATCATAACGAGACTGTGCAGATTTTTATCCAGAATTTTTATCCAGGAATTCCAGAATTCTTGGGAAAAATATTTGCATAGATATATGAATACATTCGGATACAAAATATTACAAATAAACCAGTTCGAATAGCAATAAGAGAATATGAATACAGGCAAAGTTTTTGACGGTTTTTCAATAAACGTTGACAACACGGTTTATAACTAAAAGAGAGAAACATCATTTCTGTAAAATGTTTTCGAAAAATATCGATAAAAATGTATCATATTCTTTTACAAAAATAAAATGTATCGGGAAATAGTACAAACACTTTCCAATAAAACGATATTAATATCTGCTGTTATTTAAAAAAAAAGAAAGAGAGAAAGAAAAAATATTAGAATTTCGTAAACTGAAATTTGAGAAAAGTTTAAAAAAAAAAATTAAAGTTTTGTTATTGTATATTTCTATATTCATATTTCTTGAAAACTGTCTCTCGTAAACTTGTCAAAGTCCACAGGTTCAAATGTAATTACGTTCTATGTTGCAATAAAAAATAAAAGTTGGACGATGAATTTATTAAAAACTTCCTTTCATATTTCAGATGAGTTCAGAAGTAAAGTTGCCTGTGAGAATGATGTCATCAATCTTGTCTGCCATCCAGGACAGAGGGTTGCCATTTTCAGTGCATCGTTCGGTAGAACGGAGTACGAATCCCTTCAATGTCCACAACCCCACGACGTAAAGGAGGAAAGTGAGTAGAAAATTGTAAAATCTTAAAATTTCACTCCTTAATATCACAATTACGCATTTCGTCTAAAGATTATTGGATTAAAATTAATCTTGATTTCACGCCACTTGTAAATCTAAACCTTATTTTTGTTTCGCGTAAAAATTGTAAGAAGATTCGCTTGTAAAAATTAAACTTTCGACCATCGGGGAATAAGTTTAGCTGTTGGAAAGATTTAAAAACACTCTTATAAGTTAACGTCTTAATAATTCTACTAAATATCGTTCTCTCGAATCGTGAAAGCCCTCAAGGAAAATAATGGCCAAAAAAGATATTTGGAAGTTAGCCGGGTCATTAAATGTTTACGCGAGCGTAAACATTCATGGGCGCGCGCTGTTAAAGCAAGAGCATATATCTACCTTATAATGGTATGCTTATGAATCTCAAACCTGTTTTTCGGAAGATTTACAGCAATATCAATATTCTTTTTATCTCGAAATATTATTCTTTAATTTTATTTTACGTTTCGATTTTGTAAAATAGCCTTTGATTAAAAGTATTTTTCTTCATAAATCTATTAATTTTATTAAAGTGTTTTAAACTCAACAATTTCTGTTGAATAAAATCATCGTGACTTTTGTATTTTTTAAAGATTGGAGGATCGATACTCTTTTGTTTTTCCTTCCGTATTCATTCCTGAGCGGATTGTGCATTGAATAAATCAAATATATATCGATATTTAAATCGATTTCATTATCATAAATTAAAAATTATGCGCCGAAATAATATTTTACGTGTTTAAAATTCCTTTCAAATATATTTAAAAATTTGTATATCAAGTTCTAAGAATCTTAAGAATATCTATTCCTTCTTTTTATTCCATGAAATTAGTTCAAATAGTTCAAATAGATGTTAAAACAAATCCGTGAAATTGCTCATTTGCATTCAATGGCGGTTCGAATCGATTCGAAGTGGTGGACTTTACGGAGCTGGGGGTTGCTATCAACCCATTCGTGACGTTGTCCAGACGGCATCTTTGCGACAGCAACCCTCGAAAACATTGAAATGCTATCACTCGCTGTGAAAGGGTTTCCTTATCCAATGACTTCGTCTCTCCCTGATCTCGTTAATCAACGAATTTTTCTGCAAATGTTTATGAGCTCGATCTCGATTTTCCAGTCGTAAACGTGCTCGTGGAAAAGTATTTCAACACATTCTGTTGAATCTTAAACGTTTTATTTCCGTAAAATAATACATTTGAATTTTTCTGTAGATATGAAAATCAGAAAGTGGATATTTTCGACGAAATGGAACAGTTTCGAACAATTTTTGAAATATAGGTTATTTAAAAAGTAAAATTTTTAGTTTTAAATCTCTAATTCAAATTCCAACTCTGATATCAAAGTATGTTAAATATCATAAAAATTGGAAAAAGTTTTGATAATAATCCTGAATACATACACATGAAATTTTATATTATTCGTGTCAGTATAAAAATTCTCGCGTAACAGTAATTGTGTTACGCATGAAAAATTAATGGTTTTATATTTTTTGTGTTTGATTAACTCTGGAGAATTATCTTTATCGTTTAGAATAAAATGACACTTTTACAATTTGTTCGATTATTAAAATTTAACATCCACCGTGATTTTCATTCCCGTTTCTTCCGACAAAGATTTTTATTAAAATTTTTGAAATTAGATCAGAGTGGAACTCTTTATTAATTTTCTCTATCGAATAAATTCTCGAATCAATGAAGTCCTTCTCGCGGTCGACGAGGCAATATAACCAGTTCAAAAGTTTCCTCCCATGTTCTTTAATTCCACTCGAACGTGACAATGAAATACACGTAATAGTCGTTTCACCAATGATTCTCCATGGTATTGTTACCCACGATATCGTTTCAATCTGCGTGTTCCTTAGTGATATGTAATCCAGTTTTATCACATCAATAGAATGCAAAAGAAATTTGTTATAACGATAACGAATCAAATTAACGATTCAAAAGGGGATGCGAGAAAAAATTGATGAAATTATAATTTAATTCTTCGAAAAAAATATAAAGAAACTTCCAAAACTTTCCATTGGTGTGTTATTGAAGATTAATACATTAAATTTGTTCAACTTTATAGACGTTTAATTAATATCAGGAAATTTTTATCAAAGATTCTTTCATTCTTCATTTTGCGTCAATGAAACATTTAACAAAATATTTATAATTAATTCCTTTTCCTTTATACTTAATCACTTAATCAAATCCAATTTCTATAGATTTATTTCGAACCAAAGTTCCACACAAAAAAAGGAAAGATATCTTTCTTTACGCGATCAATATTCTCAGAAAATAAAGCAGGGCGAAGGAAACAAAAATATCAAAGAAAACAAAACAATCGAGAGATTCTTTTCAAAGTGAACAAAAAGGAAATAAAACAATGCTTTGTATTCGTACGAGAGGGATACGGGATTCATGTCAAGCGTGGAATTATTAACCGTAGATTGATGAAGTTGACATTTCCATTAAGCGCGGTGAAGTAGTCACAGTCAACCTTTAATCCGACATTCAGTTTTCATCCGGCGAACGATCCATGCAATTACTGATAAGCTGGAAAGCCAGCTCTCTCTCTCTCTCTTTCTCTCTCTCTTTTTTCATCCTCGACGAAACTACGGACAAATGCGCTGAATAGATCAATTTTGTCTGGTTACAGCTTGCATGGCATCGTACGCGACAGAAACCGTGATGAATTTGTGCCATGGAAAACGACGCTGTTCGGTGGTTGCAAACAGTTCGACATTCGGTGAACCCTGTAGCCCGGAAAGCAGAACGTATTTGAAAGTTGTTTACACGTGTGGTGAGTCTGATTAATATACGCTTATTATTAAGCGTATTGATTATTATTAAATAATGAATATATCTATTAATTTTCGTTTATCATATATAAAATAATAATAATTATTATATATATATAATAATAAATAAAAATAGATATTATAAATGAACTCGGTTAAAAAGTTGTTGATATTTTAAATTATATAGCTTTGTAAACAAATAAAAAAAGAAATGATGGTATAATCATATAAATATTAGAATTAATTGAAAATCAAAGAAACATTAAATTTTCATCGTTTTCAATTATATTCAAAGTTGGATAATTTGATGAAAAAAAATCGTACGGTAAGTTTTAGGCGATTATTGTAAAGAGAAAATTTCAATCTTCAATTACAAAAAAATTTTGTTTGTGTTTTTACAGCCGAATTTTTCAAATTTCTTGAAAAAAAAAGGATTTTTTCTATTTTCTATATGATATAAAAACATCTTTGAAATAAATGCGAGTTGATTGTTGTACTTCTTTTTTTTTTTTTACAAAGTTATAAACGTTTAAAATATCAACAATTTTTCATCAATTCTACTAATTCACTTATTAATCTTTATTGTATATAATATTACATTTAGATTTTTAGAATCTTTGTAATTATTATGACAGATATTATTTTATAAATTGGATAAAGATAAGAAGCATGAAATTCATTTAAAATTTAATTGAAAATTAATTTACGGGAAGGCGGGATAATAATTAATATTCACAATTGAAATAATTTATCTTTATACTTCGAATCGATTTTAAAGCAAAGACTATTTTCAATTAATCATTTAATTTCTCAGTTTCTCAAATATTTAACCTCATTAAACAATCCAAAATGAACTTTCTTCATTTATTCAATTGGGTAATTGCCAACAGATCCGTATCCTAATCACAGCTTCATTAAAGAAACAATTTCCAATGCTACTACCTCTTTCCATCCATCCAATTAATGTAAATTGATACAAATATTCTCATTTCATTTATTATCTTTTAATTTATTATTCCACAGAACATTTCAACGTTAATTTAATTCTACCGATTGTCCATAAACTCATCAATCTCAATCCTTCGGCGCGATATCACACGTGTTACGGATAAATTTTTCAAGTGAATTTTTAAATCGCTATTTTCATATACATTCGGTTATTATTCGCAGAACGAGAGAAATCGATAGTCGAATGTTATAACGCGCCTCATCGCGAATATTTGGAACGAATTTGGACATTTTTCACGTGCGACAAATGGAGCGGAACATTTGTTTCCCGCGAAACGTCATATTCTCTGTGATCTCTTATGAAACGGTTCGCCCGGGAAAATTGTTCGTTCTTACGTAATAAATCACCGCGTATTTTTAATGCACGAGTGAAAACAAGGGGGATAGCGGCCAATTTAATTTGGACCGTGAACAAACACTACCTCGCGATCAAATAATTTTTACAAACAATTTCACATCTGAGATGCGTTAATTCGCATCGCTTAATAATAAAAAGTTTTATTTGATTTTTTTTTTTTTTTTGCACATTTAAAAAATATTTCGATTCGATGGTCGTGTAATTGTGCGCCATATGAAACATCCAATTCTGTTAAAATAAATCGACGAGAGATAAGATTGAAATAAAAATACTAAAATTTAAAAACGTTTTGCGAGACAAAAAATATATATATATGAAATTAGTTAAAATCTATAAACTAGGAAATATTATACACCTTCCATTAACTCAAATAAGAATTATTTTATAAGAGTTTCATTTGCAATTTCATTTCGTCCAATATATAATTATACTTGCCATTTAAACTTACGTCTTTTCTATAATAAATATTATTTGAAAAAAACGTGTGTCCAAACAATAATCTGCACAATCTATTTAAACAATCTGAAATAATCAAAACGAATAAAATAAAGAAATGTTTTAACTACATAAAATACAAAGATTGACAAGAAGCATTTTCCAGAGATGTTTTTAGCAACCACGAACAGTATATAACCGATTATAGATTTATTTGTTTGGCAATCATGCCAAACAAGATAATCTAGATTAATATATATGAACTGAGAACGATAACAAAGATCGATGATATCAAAAAATATCGAGAAATAGAATGATCTCGCAGTACTGACACAGTCTCCCAATTAAAATGTCAGCTATAAACAAATAAAATTCTATTAATTGGAAGATCATCATTCTATTTCACTTTATCTCCGATATCAGTCCCTAGTCGATCTTTGTCACTGTCCTCAGCCAATAACAAGAATGCACGTGATGAAAGAAGATCGAATAGATGGAATAGAAAATGCCCAGTCATCTTTTAACGAATGCACTATAATTTAACGCACATTTGTCTCTCTAAATGATGTAGCAATCGTATCATGTTACTCTGTTCACAATTAGCTTTTTCCTCTTCTACTATTACCAAATAAAACGTGTTGACGTCACGTGTTGAAAATCTAGACGCTTGTTGATAACAAAGACTGTTTCAATTCGGGATCTAACGAGCAAGCAACATCCGCCATCAAGTCGGAAGTCCGTGTTACCGGCGTCGATTGACCCAAAAAGCTCGAGGACGATTGACACGGCCTTCCGGCTCGCGGTAAGTTCTCCTGCTGATAGCTTTCCACTGTGAACGGCCCGTTTCTACATTTAATGGCCAGTCAGTCCATGAACGAAAGTAATCGCTTAATAGCCATTGTTTGGACCGGTGGCAAGTGAATAATGATCTGTCGTATTCCATTCGAAAGTTCCACCATTGGTAACCTTTAATACTTGGAATTCGCCAATTTTCGAGCACGTTAAATGGGAATGAATTCTTCTCCTCAATTTCTTTTCATACCGCTTCGAGATAGACATTTCAATGAGCTTTGATGGATTTCAGGCTGTTATCTAGTTATATATTACCTTAAAGTTTGGTCATTAAACTGAGATATTTGAAAAATGAGAAGTTTTAAACGATATTCCTTTTCTTGTTTAATTATAAATATATTTTACGATGAGTTAGATCGAGAGCATTTCTTGAGAATGCAAAAGGATTTTCAGAAATATCGTGTACAAGGCTATTAATTTGTTGCTCGTTATTCAAATGAGATTCTCAATGAGAGAAAATTTTGCAAAGAATTAATTTATGATCGAAGTCTGAACGAGAAAATCAGAAACGTAAATTAATCATGATATACGATATACAAATCTAATATATTCGACTTACCAGAAAATTTCTTAAAAACTTTTTTCTTGAATGATGAAAACCACCATAAAAAAACGTAATTTCCCTGAAGAAATTAAACGCACCATATTTTTTCTTCTTAAAACGAATAAATATATCCAACATTCCTTACACTGTATATCTCTCTATGCGATATTTCTTTTCATAAAAAGGAAAATAATTAAAATTTTACCTTGCTTAAAATTCTAAAAAGAATACAAAGTATAATCTAATTTATATTAAATCAACAAACGTTTTACAAACGAGGATGTTAATCAAATTAAAACGTTAAGGAAGCTCCATAAAACAGCCGAAAAGGAAATCCCGGAAAATCCTAGAGAACTCAATTTCAATCGTTCTAACTTTCAAATCCCATTAAACTCGGGTGAAGATCGAGCGGAATCATCCCGGTCAGAATCCTTTTGCGACCGTCGAAAGCACGCGCTCCAGAAATCATTCCGCCTCCTTCGAGAAACAACCACCTTTTATGACAAAAATAAAAATCCAATATGAGATATGAACAAAAAGTGGGATGTTTTTTTTTATTTTCTGATATTGACAATATATTATTTTTTTCTATCAGTATTGCTGATAATGTTTTCTATTATTAATTAAAATTTCGCAAATTGTGCAATGATTTATGTGCGTAATGATAGTATTAGTGAGTTTTGTTCTTAGCTTTCGTTATCAGTAAAACAGGATGTTTCTATTGAAAGAGTAATGAATCAATGCCAAATTAATTAATTTAATATTCAATGGATTCCTATTATATGAATTTATTCAATCATATGTGTCGTTTATTTTTTTTAGCAAAATTTTTAGCAAAAAAGATTATCAAATAATATTTTTAAATATTATTTTAAAATAAATATTAATAACTTCAATATTTATTCGATTTAATCAATTCAAGAACATATCACGCAAGCTTGTTTTTCTCGAAAAATCAATAATGGAAGTTTTACCATCGCTATTATTCCAAACTATTTGTTCCCTGTCGGGTTCATATAAATGGAGTTCTATTGAAATTTGACATTAATTTATCGTCCTTTCAAGACTCCTATTATACTTGTGGTGACATCTAGGAATAACTATCTATTACTAAATCTGTACCAACCACGAGTATATGTGATCATAAAATATAAAAACTAACAATTAAAAAACATATTCTCTATACAAATAGAAAAAAATCATATGTAATGTTGTCAATATCAAAAAACATTTTATCAAAATACTCTTTTATTCCTATAAAAACCAATTAATAAGATTAAAGAATTATCTTATAAAACAATCTTATAAAAATCCATTCGATAGGCAATTTCGTTTTTCTCTCTGGATCATCGTAATATATTTTCAAAAACAGCCCTTTATCCACTAAGACATACACGAATCTATCCATCGAATAAGTTTCCATGGAAAATTTCAGAATAACGACACCATACCTTTAACGAGCCTTGAAGAAATCCGCTCGAGCGTATCGCGAGCGTATAACGAGGCGTCCACTCGTAACGCTGGTTATTCTCATTGTGCACACGCAACACAGGCAGAAGATAAATTCTCTTTTTTTTTTTTTTTTTTTCCCCTCCTTTTCTTCGGTTGGAACACGCCACTGGTCCGCGGATACTTTTAATGGCACTCGTCGCGCAACATTGTCGGCCGGAAACGACTGCTCGCACATTGTAGGCGAGTTTATGACACCGGCTGGGATCGCCAAAGAGGACAAGAAAATAAAACTCGTTAAGGATGTTTCTACTTTCCGCAAGTTTTCTTTTTGGCGAAAGTTTTGGGGAAGAAGT